GGAGGGAGGGAGGGAGGGAAGGAGGGAGGGAGGGAAGGAGGGAGGGAGGGAGGAAGGATCTTAATAAGTTCAAACCAGATAGAACAGGGCAGGCTTGGACGTGAGCTCCTGGAAACCTGGTGCTAATGGCAGGGCTGAACCACCACTACAGCATGAAGTTCCTGGACATAACTCTTCATGCTGCCTCACAGACATCTGTCTCACACTACATGTCAAAATCTGCCATGTGTCCTTGCAAGGAGACGAAGTGTAAATCCGCTACAATCAGGTGGATCAGTCAGAGAGCAAGGTTACAGAGCATCGGGGAGTTACAGGCATGAAAAGTATCTCTTGGCTGAGAAGCTACTTCATTTTTTGATCTACTTTGCAGTGAAGGAGTAAGGTTGAAAGCCAGACTGCTGCAGGCCTATGCTGGGAAGAAAGGAAGGAAGGAAGGAAGGAAGGAAGGAAGGAAGGAAGGAAGGAAGGAAGGAAGGAAGGAAGGAAGGGCTGGTTACAAGAAGCAATTGGCCCAGAGGCTGGCGATTTCACTCCATCAGCAGAGTGCTTATCCAGCATGTACACACTCTGGGTTAAATAGACCCCCAGTAACACATAAACAGGGCTTGACGGCGCATGCCAAATGCCTTAGCATTTGGGAGGTAGAGCTAGGAGGCTCAGAAACAAATCCAGCCTGGGCTACATGAGATCTTTTCTCAGAAAAAGGATAAGAACAAGTGGTCCAGGAGAATACATTAATGCCTAACAACCAACTCTTAAGTTAATGAGCATTCACCATATACACATCCCGTTGCAGTTCCTAAAAAGCATGGTCAGCTTTTCTGTATCCATTGTCCTGCTGATGGGGCTTTATCTGAAGTAATTTTTTTAAACTTAAGAAAAATTGCACTTATTTATTTTTGTGTGTATGTGCATGTTTGTGGGCATGAACAAACCACAGCACACACAAGGAGGTCTTAAGTCTCAGGCTTTTCAATCTGGGATGGAGAAATGCTTCAGTTTAAATAGCTCAACTGACAATTTGAGACTCAGCCAGGTGCAGTGCTTGTAATCATAGCACTTGGAAGACCAAGGCAAGAGGCGGAAAGCTGGAGTCTAGAAAGACAGCTCAGTGGTTAAGCACACTTGCTGCTCTTCCATAGGACCAGGGTTCAAGTCTTAGCATCTACAGGGTAGCTCACACCTGTAACTCCAGTTTCAAGGAATCTGGTTCCCTCTTCTGGACTCCATAAGCGCTGCATGGACACATGATGCGTAGACATGCAGGTAGGCAAACTACCCACATACATAAAACAAAAATCAGTGTCTTTAAAATAATAATAAAAAAAACCAATAAATTTAAGAAAGTAAGTTTGAGGCTAGCCTGGGCTAGATGCTGAGACTCACTCTCAAAACACACACAAGAAAACAAAACCCCCAATGTGTATGTGTGTGTGTGTGTGTGTGTGTGTGTATGTGTGTGTGTATCTTATTAAGGTATATATGTATATCTTAATATAGGAACCAGACTAGTCATGATGGCACATGCCTTTATTCCTGGTTCTTAGGAGGCAGAATCAGGAATATCTCTATGAATTTGAAGCCAGTGTTTGTACACAGAAAGTTTCAGGTCAGCCAGGGCTATATAGTGAGACCCTGTCCCCTCCGAAAAAAAAAAAAAAAAACATGTATGTGGAGTGACTTGTGAAGCACTTGCTGCCAAGTCCCCAGGACACACATGGTGGAAGGGCGGGTGGAGAGAAGGGACTGCTACAGGTCGTACTCTGACTTCCACACCCACATCATACATGCCCACACGCTTACACATACATGAAGAACTAGGACTTTACCAATACCATTGTTTCTCTAGTTCACACTGCCTTCTGTCTAACTGCTCACTGCCCACTCCTTCTTGGAGCTTTTATTTACTTTATT